ACCAAAGCTTGCTCGACCAAACTCCCAATCGAAGCTTGTATGAAGATAGCCAATATCCAAACAAATCTTGCATGCAGGAGGCCACTACTTTATGGGTGCTAGCCAACACGCAGGAGGCCACTGCTTTGTGAATCAAGGAAAGCATGTAGGAGGCAAAATGCCCATTCGAAGCTTGTATGAAGATAGTCATTGTCCAAACGAATCTTGCATGTAGGAGGCCTCTTCTTTGTGGGTGCTAGCCAGCATACATGAGGCCAAATGCCCAATCGAAGCTTGTATAAAGATAGCCATTGTCCAAATGAAGCTTGCATGCAGGAGGCCACTGCTTTGTGAATCAAAAACATGCAGGAGGCCATTTCCTTCTGAATCGAAGCAAGTCTGTAGGAGGTCACTGCCTTGAATCGAAGCAAGTTATTTCAAAGGGAGACATTGCCCAGTCAAAGCTAGCATGAAGGAATGAATTCAGTCGAAGCTAGCGTGAATCGAAGCTAGTATGAATTGAAGCAAGCTTGCTTTTCTTCAATTTTGTCAAAAAAAATAAAATTTATCTGCTTTTCTCTTTCAATTGTTTCCTCTTTGACTTGATGTTTAAAAATCCAATATGATCTATGAAAATTATGTGGGGCATTAAAAATCCAATTATGCTTGTGCAATCTTGAATTTTAATAAATCCTTGTAAGAAAATGTCTTGAGAAAAGAGAGGTCAAACTTTGGGGTACAACACTCTAGAATATATGATTCTTGATATTGGATTAGTTGCTTTTAAGAGGTGGGTAAATGGATAAAAGTTTCACATAATTTCTTGAATTGTTGAAAGAAATGCTTCCTGAAGGTAACACTTTGTCAAATCGTAGTTATGAGGCCAAGAAGATATTATATCTAATGGGTTTTCACTATGTCAAAATACATGCATGTCATAATTATTGCATCTTATATAAGAAATAGTTTGAAAACTTGAATGAGAGCCCGAGGTGTGGGGAGTCACACTACAAGTAGGAGGACAATGGGGCTGATGACGATGATGGTGTAACTAGCAAGGGTGTTCCTTCTAAGATGATGTGGTACCTACCGATAATTCCAAGGTTCAAGAGATTGTTTTATGATGTTAATGATGCAAATACTATATGGCATGCAAATGAAAGAGTGTGTGATGGAACACTGGTGTAGTGGATTGACAGTGTTAATTTTAAAGTACTTTTGTTTAAGTGAAAGTGGATTGACAGTAATATTGGTGTAGAAACTGATGATTTAGGATTCGTATGGGTTGATCTTAGAAAGTCAACTTATAAGAAAGATCCATTTATCATGTTAATCCAAGAAAAACAAGTTTTTTATGTCACTTATCTGATAAGACTAGATGGTCAATTGTTCTTCAAGGAAAACATCTTCCTGATAGTAATGATGAAAATCAAGATTTGAACTATGAGACGCCTTGTTTAACAACACATGTATGACAATCATCTAAAAATAATAATTCATATGATATGCATGTTATTCGTTGTGATCATGAAGATGAGATATGAAAAAACTAGTAAGTAAATATTTTATATCGCCTAGTAATATATAATTATTCATTTTACTCTTTTTTTATTCCTTGTAAAATGAATAATTATAGGTGATTATCTTAATTGGTTTCAAATGTTGTTCTAATTATAGGTGCTTAACGACCAATGACAAATTCTATTGGACATCCTACAACTTTTTAGTTTGGTTATTGCATTTGTTGGTTTATCATTTGTTCTAGTTTTGTTGTAAAATTATAAAGTGTGTGACATTTTGGGTTTGTATTTAGTGTAAACAATAAATATTTGTGATATAATGTTTCATATTGAGAAATTGGCAAAATGTATAATGTTTCTATTTCAAGAATCTACAAAATATGATATGTAATACAATTGCATATGACAGTACCAAAAAAAAGTTATCCCCTCAGTTTTTACCTTAAATTGGGATAATAACACTAAGATATTACCTCGGTTATATAGAACATCGAGAGTTAATATTGGACGCATCATCCAGTTCTAAATATGATAAAAATGCAGATGTTGGGGATCAAACCCATGTAAGATAACTTTACTCCTCGGATTTTTAATAACCGAGGGGGTTAAGTGGTTGCTTTTTATGACGCCTTTCGTTACCTCACTTCTATAGTCGAGATTAAATGAATTTCACATTCGATGTTAGATGTGTTTTTTGTAGTAGTGAACTTTTCTTACAGGGGGAAGTTTATTATGGACAATATAGTATATTAACTAGGTTTGCATGAACATATAGTAGACATTGATCCAGATAAGTGGAGCTTCTTTGAAGCTACTGGTATCGTGAAAGACCTTTGTCAGCTTGAATATTCAGAATATTAGTCATAATGGTATAATAATGTATCAGACACACATAATAGAATGGTTAGTGATAGTGATGCTAATGAGGTTTATAATTTTGATGTTGAAATGAAATGTATAGTGGACATATATGTCGAGCATAAAGTAGTTGATGATGGTGTTAATTTTGAGGATGGTGTTAATGTTAATGATGATGGTGTTAGGGATTTGATGATAGCAACAACAGAGGAAACACATAATAAAGCATGAGAAGTTAAGATGAAAGAATTGAAGAAGTTAAAAGTGAAGGCTTGTGAGTGGTTGTCCAAAATACCCACCAAAACATGGTGTACGCATGCATTTTCTTTTTATCCCAAATGAGATGTGTTAATTAATAATGTATTTGAAGCATTTAATAGCGTAATATTAGTGGATAGGGATAAATCAATCTTAACCATGTGTGAATGGATAAGAAACACATCATGAATAAGAATGCTAGCTTGAGAGAAAAAGTTGATAGGTAGCAACATAAGATAATTCATAGACCTAGACTTAGGTTAGATAAAGAAGTAGAACATGTTGATAATTGGATTTCAAATTGGTCTAGTGAAACAATATTACAAGTTAAACATGCTTATACTAGATATAGTTTCATAGTGGATACTTCAAAAAGAACTCGCGCTTGTAATTTCTGGGAATTAGTAGGCATATCTTATAGACATGTAGTATCTGCATTAAGTTTTAAGAACCAATACCCAGAAGACTATGTGGATGATTTCTAGTCCAAGAAAATGTATGTGGCGTGCTATAATTTTAATGCAAGCCCAATTAATGGATAAAACACGTGGCAAGAGATTGACATTGAAAAAATGTTACTTCCATCATACAAAAGAGGACCTAGAAGGCCAAAGAAATTGAGAAGGAGGAAACCTAATTATGGAAGTGACTCAACATAATCAATGACATTACAGACACTAGTGAACTTTCATGATGTATTTTGGCTTCTGTATTTCTGTTATGTTGAACAAGTTGGACACATGATGTATTTCTGTTATATCTTTTTGACTTTGTGTATTTATGTTATGTTGTATTTAAGTCATGAACAATTTCAACATGTGAACTTGTTATGATGTAGTATGTCTTTTGGCTTTATGTATTTTGGATACATTAACTATCATTATGGTTTAGTAATATTTGACCCTTTTTTTTTTTTACTTTATGATGTATCTTTGTTGCATTTTTGTTATGTCTTTTTACCTCTTATTTTATTTAAATCATTAATAAACATTGATGATAACAATAAAATCACAAACATATAGGAATGAAAAATAAAAACATCATATTCATTCATTAAATATGCATTACACGTGGAACCAAGGATGAAATTCATAATGACTATTTGTTACAGAGACGAAAAACAAAACAAAAAAAAAATTTATAGACACGTTTAAATGGGAATCACCATCATTTATGGTAAGCAATGAACAAACTCCGTGACACAATCAACATAAGCTTGAACAAATTGAGTTTTCTCCTTTCTTTTTCAAACTTCATCTTCATATTTGTTTTTTTCCCTAATCTTAAGCTCCTTAACAATGCTACCTAAATCCTTCATAACCTTTGAACAATTACATTCACTTAAAGTTCTGGATTCACTATGTGTTTCGTTCAAGTTCATCATCACACATGAACAAATTGCAATTTGACATTAATCTAAAATTTTGACATTTCTAATATTTTTGTTAAGATTTCCAAGTGAGTTTGACATAACAAATTTCATTGATTTATTGCAGCCACATACTAACACTTAAAACAGATTAAAGTTTACAGTTGAGGAAGAAACTATAGATGAATGGATGATAAAAGATTAAAGTTTACAGTTGAAGAAGAAGAATGTATATGTAATGAAGAGAGAGAAGAATTTGCAAAATTATTAATTTCTTTTAAAATTTAATCCCTCTTTTTAATGACCCTCATATTGCAATTTTACATGTAATAATGAGTTGTAATTCCTAGTATAATAATGAGTGTCATAATAAAAATTAAAAAATAAAAATTAAGTCAACAATATTAGTCACATAAAATATTTTTTATCAGAACTTTGACATCAAAAACCAACATCAACAAAAAAAAAAGTGACATAGAATATATAAAAAAAATCACAGACTTTTCAAAAAAAAAAAACTATTTAAATCATAAATAAATTATCTTCCGAATGAATTTCTAAATTTTACACTTTCTATAAGAAACTAATAAAAAAGAAAATTTAACCTAATAATACAAATTAATATAATAAATATACCATTTTCTCCTGCAAACTTTTTCTTAATTTATTTCTCAACAAATATATTTTAGAGCACATGTTAACCATTCTCCTAAAGAAAAAAAGTGACACTTAAGATTGTTCCAATGTAGAAAAAAACCATTGCCAAAAAATATAAAGAAAATTACAGCAGCAAAAATAAAAACCTAGAAAGTTGATAAGGTTGTTTGTGATCAATATGCATAGATTAATACAAAAGTTAGCTTCCGCTTAAGTCTAGGTAAATACGACGTCGTAAAGGTCCACAACGTGTGAGTGACGCATTATTTTCCTAGACTTGACAAATTCCTCGTCATTTTGTTTTCATCTCATCTCAGATTCCCTTTTGTTTTTGTTACCAAAAGTCAACGAAACGGCGTCTACGATTTAGAAGCGGAGTTAGCATCTTTGACGGCGCTATTAACGGACATTCCGGGAGAGGATGGGCCATCACCGTTGGATGCGGGGATAGCGTTGATATTGTGGGTGGGAGCGTTAATCAAAGGGTTCCTGTTGTGACACGTGGCAGTGGAGATTGCAGTGGCGAGAGAAATCGGCATGAGGCAGAGACCTTTCCCTTGTAAGTATTGCATGGCGGATCCCATGTCTTCCTCCATCAGCTTGGCCACCTGATGCTCTGTCATTGTGAGACTCTCGTTCGACGCCGACGTTTTAGGGTTTCTAACGTGGACCCCACTGTTTCCGTTAGCTTGGACGCAGTCACTGATACCCTGAAAACAAAACAAAAAATAGTATGTGTCACTGTTAAGGGAAAGAGTGGAATCTGAGAAAGTAGCCACGCGTGATACTTTTGATTTTGTCGTTTTGTGGTGATTGAGAATTTCTGAATTGATTGATTAAAGTATGAGCCAAACAAAGCCTACAAAAAAGAAAGTAGGTGTGTGTGTTTTTAATCCTAGTGAGAAGACTCATCACTCCGACATCATTTCATGGATGCTGAGTATTCCGTATTTCTTAGGGAAATTCTAGCATGCTATCTTACTTTCTCTCTCAATTTCTTGCTTTATTCATTTTTGGGCAAAGAATGAACAATTAAAATATATCATTAGTATATAGTTGTTGTTAAATCAATTTAAATGATACTTATGTAGAAACATAAGATAATGGACATAAAATAAAATGAAAAAATTACCTCGGAGGACATATCAGCAACAAGGGGAGCAACAGCTGCTGCTCCGCCTAATCTACTCATACTCAAAACCTGTAAATATTTCAATTGCGCAATCAAGAAAAAATTAAAATTGCAAGAGTATTTATTTCTACATTCAATTATGTTCTAAGTCACAGAGAAAACATGACAACAAAATATTGAAGAAAAAGAAGGAAATCTCGTTTCACCTTGACTTGAACTTGTAGGAACTTGACATAATCTATTATCTCATCCAGCATGGAGGCCTTATCTGTCTGTCACTCCACAGACCAGACAAAGTATTAAAATTTCAACAAGGATAGAGAGACCCATTACATTATGTTTATAATATTTTTTTAATTAGAAAACACGTTTCTTAGAAAATTATTGTCTCTTAGACTAAGATAAAATAAATTCTTTGTTGAATAAATTAAGGGGAATGTAAAGGTGTGCTTAAGAGTAATGAACATGACTATTGAAAGTTTAATTAAAATATCACATGATGATTGAAATTGAATATCACTCCTAATTAATACTACTAATCAAGAAAAGAACGATAGTTGAGTATTGAGATGAGTATTGTGTTACCTTATTAGCATTTGGAACAAGTTCCTGCAATGCTTTCATTCTCTCAGCAATTCTTTCCCTCCTTAACTGCCATACATCAAAATAAAACTATCAAATTACCATTTCTTCCATAAAAATTGATGTTGTTGAGAACTATTTCTAATTTGAAGCAAGAATTAAACTTGATATAGTATTGACATCTCTAAACAAAAACACGTTGGGTGTGTGACACTCATACCGTAAAGATACATGTGATTATCTTTAATTTGCTCAGTCTAGCCTGGTTTTAAATAATGGTGGTGCTCTTATTGCAAACGCATAAAAGGTGTTGTGACAGTGATTATAATTGTTGGGATGTGAATTAATTATAAATTATTCTTTATCACAAAAAAAAGTAAATAGCTGTATTAATATCAAACACTTTTAAATACCATTTTATGGCAATCACAAACCAATTTTTAAAATCTTATATATGTATTGGCGTACTAGTTAAACCTAATGGAAACAAAACAAAGCTATTTTTAAAATCAAAACAGAATGATAGTAGGCCCTAACAAATAAGGCTGAAATTCTGTTAACCACTGACAAAACCATTTTCTCAGAAAAACATGTACTAACATTTTAACGTTTTCAGAACTATCTTAATTGCCACACTGAAAAATGACAAGAGAAACGAAACTATTTTTGCACAATCTTTGAACAACCAAACACGCCATAGTGAAAAACATACCCTTTCAGCAATACTGTGTGGATCAGTAGCCTGACCTCTCCTAGCCCTAACCTTCTGCCTTGGCTGAGCCGGAGCACCACTAGCCGGCGCCTGGTTCCCCGCACTCACTGAACCACCTCCAAAACTTTGCACCTATCATTCAAAATTCCCAACAAAAAAAAAAATGAAATACATAAATAGACATAAAATAAAAAATCACAATATAATTTATAAAATAAAGAAAAGATGAGAGAAGAACCTGAGGTGGTTGAAAATGGTGAGTTTGATTGGCGACGGCGTGGAGAGATCCGGAGAAACCGTTATAGAGAGCTTGAACGGAAGCGTCAGCAGGCTGTAAAAGCTAAGAATAAAATATTGAGCAAAAGATAACGTGGTAAAATAATAAAGAGCGTGAGAAAAAAGTTGAATACGTTAACGACGTCGTTTTGAGAGGAGTCAAAGTCAGTTGGCATGTGAAGGAGTCCGGAATCGGCGGGTGTGGGCATGAGAAGCATGAGAGCGGCGGCAGTGGTTTTGTCAGTGATCTGGTGGTTACGAAACTTGGAGGAGAGGTTGGTTTGTTCGTCGTAAGGGAAAGTGAGAGGCTCGTCGGAGTTAGGGTCCCATAAGGGTTTAGCGTTGTTCCAGGGAGAGGATGGAGGGAGATTGGAGAGCATTTGTTTGAGGAAATCGTCTTGTTGTTGGAATGTGTTGTCGTTGTTGATTTCGATCTGTGGGTGGTTTTGGAGAGGAATGGGGATTTGAGGAGGTGGAGAAGAACAAGAGTTGAAAAGGGAGTTGAGGGATTGCATTTCTCTGCTGCAAGGTTGCATCAAGGAAGAAAGTGTGGAAGTTAGAGAAGAGAGAATTGCGCAAGTGGGAGGGTTGAAAATTGAAATGAAGAAAACATTATATTTAATAAGTTGAAGAGAGAGAGAGAGAGAAAAATTAATGGAAGAGTCGTGGCAGTAGAGAGAGAGAGTTAGTTGCAACAGAACAATTCTGTCACACTAATATTAAACTCAACTTCTAGTATAGTAAAACAATGAATACAAATGAAAGTAAAGTTTAATTAAATATCATATTATTGCTAAGTAAAGTTGCATTAAATATCACTTGTTTAAAATATTAAATTTTTTATTCTTAAAATAAAGCTCTCTATATTTCCAAAATTAATAAATAAATAAAGCTCTCTAAGAGAATATATAATTCCGTATCGGCTACATTCCCAACCAATACATACAAATTGCATACCTATTACCAACTTACTAATAAGGCTGCTAATTAGGTTATACACTAGGTAATTACATATACAAAGATCAGTAGATAATTACATATTAAAAAGTGTGATAAATAATAAATAGAGATTTTTATCGTGCTATCCTTATCAAAAATATAACGTTGGGTTTTGGGTGATGGGCTATGCAAAGCATCTTATAAGCTGCTCTGTGTTAACACCGGGGTTTTAGGAAAGGGAATTTCTTAATCTATTCCATAGGGTTAAAAAATAATCTATGTAATTTTAAAAAGAGAAATCGGAAATATATTTTCAATACAAATTATATATCATATATTACAAAATTAAAAACGGTTTCACTTTATTGTAATAATAAAACAGAACCGACGATATATTTTTGATTTAAATCGGAAATACATCTTCGGTTAATAAGTGCAGGAAGATTGAAAAGTCTGTCACCTTACTATTTAATTTAAAATCAGATGTGTATTTTCGGAAAACTCAAAAATTATATTGCTTAAACCAGTAATTAATATGGATAAAAATGATCATCCTCATTTTTTAAATTTTTCATAAACTCTTTCCAAAAACTTGTTGGTGATTTTAGTATCACCAATGTATTTTAGTAGTAATGTGATTTACTAAAGGCCGATGCAATTATGCGTTAAGCTTGGAAACGAGTTAGGGAAGTGCGGAGTGCACGCTCGTCGAGCCAATGTATAATTGAATATGAATAATTGAAACGGGGTTCCAAGGGGCGAAGCCCCTTACGGGGTACGGGGCAGCGCCCCGTTGGGGTTCCAAAAGGCGAAGCCCCTGGCGGGGTGCGGGGCAGCGCCATAACCGTTTTTCCCAACCGACATAACCGTTTTTCGGAACAGGTGTGTCTTTTCGGTTTCAGTTATTGATCTCCTATATAAGGAGTCATTTGGCCTCGGTTTCAAATACGAAAAACGACACTTTCTCTCTACATTTGTAATCAGTTTCTTTTGCCAGAAACAGATTGTTCTTCGAGAATTATCCCCACAAAGATTTCGTGAACCCAGGCAAGAATAGGGTCGAAATACTTTGTTCGGAAAGTGTACGAACACGATTCTTCGAAGTTATCCAGGATTATCATACCCAAATATCTTACAAAACTCTTACATTCTCAATCAAGTTTTTCATTCTAAATCTTTATTCTTGTGGTTTATCATATCAAAAGGAGTTCAAGAAAGTGAAATTTAAAGTAAATTTTATTCATTTCAATCCTCATTCTTCACATTAATCTGGTTTTCAGCTGAAAAAAGTTACACGAATACTATTATTACATTTTTGGTTGTTAGTTGAACTTAACTGGAGATGTATTTCTGATTTTTGTCTGTGTTTATTTTCAGAAACTTATTCCTTTGTGTATGCTAATTAATTTATGTATCCAACGAAAATATAACTTCGAAAATAGTCTATATTTTATCACATATGGATACGTTTCGGAAATACATTTCTAATTTCTAAGAGCATTTATGTATTTTCATGTGGTGCATTAAAAAATTATAGGTGAGTTAAGAAATTCTCTTAAGAAATGTAGAAAGGCATAAGCATGCTTGTGATAAAGGTTTGTTGAGACTTGAAATTCAAACTGATAATTTGGAGATTAAGAATTTTCTCAGCCAAAACATTAACATAATGCAGCAAGGAGCAAGTTTATTGATGAATATTAAAACATTGTTTGGCAAAATGGAGGATTTCAAGGTGATCCATATAATATAGGGAGGTTAATGCTTGTGCGGATAGGCTAGCGAAATAGAGGCTGCAACTGATCATTGTAATAGTGTCTATCTTGATTGTCCTAATGAGATTATGAAGGAATTCGTAGAGAATGCTAATGGTACCTCTTTTGTGAGGAGTGCAGTGGTTTCTTTTGGGCGAAAGCCCCCTTTTCTCAAAAAAAAAAAATTGATGTATTCGAATTAACATTAATTCAAAGTAAAAATACAATAAAATAAAAATATTAATGAGAGATTATAATTGGAAGATGAAAATTAAAATTGTATTAATAAATAAAAGTGCTAAGTATTTTAGCACAAATAATTTTTTTAAATGTTACATAATCTATCACACCTCATAGTCTAAACATAAGAGTCACGTCACTTACTATTATTTTTGGTAAACAATCACAGGTTTACTGTGCTAATGAGATTAACTCGAAAAATTTTAAAAGTAATTTGTGTAAATTAATTGTACGAAAAGTAACTTGCGTGAGTTAAATGTAATTGTTTGTATGAAGACAAAATAGATGCAAAACTTAAATAAAAAGAGAAACTTTGATACTCCTTCATCCTCTTTTATAAGCAAATTTTGACTTTTTAAGTTCATTGAATAAATGATGTATTTGAACTATATATAAACTAGATATATTAATTATTGAATGAATCTAAAAAGTTAAAATTTGCTTATAAAGGAGAATGGATGGAGTAGATGACAAAGATTTAAAGTGTAATAAATGATATTAAACAACAATGATAAATGCTTCATTTAAAGAAACAAAATGACAATGAAAAAGAAGGACGCAAACACATAAATATTTCTCACAAATAATTTCACTCGGGTACTTCATTTCTATAGAGATTATGTACAAAAGTATGTGACCCTGATTACAATGTATGAGTCTGCTACTTATACTATTCTAAGATAATCGTTGATGGTGGTTACCATTTAGACATTCTAACACGTACCATCTTGTTTCAAATTTTGTTTTTGATTGTGTTACCACATGTTTTCTAAGATGTAACTGCTAACAAACCATGTTCCACGTTGACAACTGCTTCAAACTCCCCCAAACTACTCTTGCTAGCATCTGGTTTTATCACTTCATCGACATACCTCTCGATTGACTCCTAGACTTTTAGAAAAACTATTAAGTCTTTGTTAAATAATAACCTTGTCGAAGTTATCATCTTGTTGAAGGTGAACATTCATGTCGAATGTCTTTTTTTCAAGATTCTAAACATGTTTCATAGTGATTGTTGTACCCCAAAATTTGCCCTCCCATATTCTTCAAGAAATTGCCAAATCAAAGCTGCAAAATTCCCCAAGGGTTGCACAGTCAAAGGTCCCCTATACAGTCAAAACTAGGGTTTGTGTTCTGATCAAGGAAATGAAGTTTTCAAAGGCCCAATCAAGTCTCATATGCCTACAAATATGGTCAAGCATCCTCATATCAAGTTTCAAGGCATTCAGCTCAAAATTGCACAGTCAAAACCCTAAATTGCACTACAGTCAACTGTAGGGGCAAAATGGTCATTTGACAGTCAAAAGTTCAAATTTTTGGTCAACATATCATTTTGAAGCCACAAACATCATTTGATCAATACTTGATCATGATTCTCAAAATTTGGCTCAGAAATCATCAAAGATGCAAAAGTTTCCTTATTTGGACAGTTGAAAAAGTCAACTGAAATTGACCAGGGCATAACTTTCATATGGATTATCAGAAAAATTCCATCCAAAGCTCATTTTGAAGAGAAAGACATTTCCTACAACTCATCTTCATACTTCAAGTCCAAGAAATGCTCTCACAAAAAGTTATCAATTTCAACATTATAGGTCATTTTCAAAAGTCAACAAAAAGGGACTTTAAGTCAAAGGCCATAACTTGAGATTGGTAAATCAAAATGACATGGGACCAAAGGCATTGGTTAGAGGACTCAAAGACATTTCCAAAATGTCCAAGAACATGAGAAAAGCTTAAAAATTGAGCAAGTTATGCCTTGTGGAAGTTGGGAAATTTTTGGATATTTTGAAAAGTCAACATTGATTCAAATGGTCTAAAATTGCTAATGGGCCCATTTTTCTTCCATGATTCATCATCCATGACATATGCACGACCACTTGGCCCAAAGGGAAGTATTTTCTCATTTTTTATCTATTTATTTGAATTATTATTTATATTAATTCATTTAAATCATTTAAATATATGAAAAATATATAACTTGACCTAATAAATCTTTTCATGCATGTTTTGCCCTCAATATTTCGTGCACATTCAAAAATAGGAAGATTTGATTTGATTTGAGCATAACTGATACAAGAGCACATGGAAAAGATTGAAAACATAATGGTGAAAAATCAAATCTCCAAATCCATGAATGAAAGATATTTGGATCAATTTTGTTAACCTAATCTATTCAGTACATAAGCCTGAGTGAAAACCTAATGCTAACACACACAAAAGCTGCGCAAGAAACTCCATTGCAAACTTGAAAAATTCCCTAAAAACTCAAAACTGAAATCATCTTTATAGGGCGATTCAAAGGATAATTTTGATTCCAATAGCTTGCTCAAGGTCCCTTGAACACATTCCAGTCAAGAATAGCCATCCAAACGCAAAGAATTGGTATACAGAACCTGGAATACCTTGTGAAAAATTTGTGATCGTGTTTTAAAATTTATGCATCTTCATGACATATTATTCATTGATTCATATTCCTGATGAAGTTTTGATGCTAACTGTACAATTTAATTGTGTTTTTGTGCTCTCAACGCGATTTCACCATGTTTGATACTTAGGGTTCCAAGGTTTTCAAATTGGGCGTTTTCAATTCCTATAAAATTAAG